GACCCAGGGTTACTGGGTTCTTGTCTTGCTTCCCAGAAAAGGATTTTAGGAATAGATAAGCAGTGAAGTAAACAGGCTTTATTTGGAGGGTTTTTGAAGGGAAAGAGGAAGAGAAGTGGGAGAGAGTGGAGAGTAATGTGCTCAAGAGAGAACCCAGGCTTCTCTAAGGGCGGAGAGAGCACCTACACACACATCCTAGCGTTGGACAGGAAAGCATGAAAGTCCACATCTCAAGAGGGGAGATGCAGGCGACACATGTGCTCGGCCACATGGGTGCAAGCAGCACATGGGCTCCGGCAGCATATGCACCCTTCCTTTGTTCAAGGTGGCCTTTATAGGGTTCCTCCAACCTGCCCCAACGTGGGGCTTCTTCCTAGGTCAAAGTCTGTTGCTAAGGAGGTTCCCGGGGGGGGGGGGGGGGGGGTTTGGGAGTAGTGATGGTCTTCTCTGAAAGTAAGTCCTTTCCTGGCCTTTGGTTTCTGCAGGAGCTTCCCTGGTCTGTTGCTACAGATAGGTGAGGGTCTTATCATACTTTAGTTTCTGATTTTTCTATTTTCTGCAAGTTGGCTTTTGCCATTGACTTGGGAGGGGACCTTCCCTCTCCTGCCTACATCAATCCAAGAAGCCAAGCTGGTTTGATGGGCCACAGTTCCAGTTCCAGTTCCATCCAGATTGGGCTGGGCAAAGTGTGACCTGGGCAAGAAGTGGATGGAGAAAGTAAAGGTGCGGCCTGTCCCAGGGCATGAGGCAAATCTGTCACACGAGGTCTCTGATCCCAGACACTTCTGGGCTCCTACCTGGTCCCTCTAAAACCCATGATGGGACAGTGGGGAAAGCACTTGTTTTGTGTGCAGCCGACCTGGGTCTAATCACTGTGGTGATCCCTTAGCACACAGCCAGGATTGAGTTGAGTACCACCAGGTATGGCCAAAAACTTTAAACAAAACATATTAAAATAAAACTCGTATCAGTGATTGCTCCCAAAGCACACACATCTGATACTGGCCACCACGGAGGGAGGGACAGTGAAAGAATGGTGACAGTCCCAGACCGAGGTAGAGAGGGGAGACTCCCATCTCCCTCCCCGCCCTTCTCTCTCCTGTGCCACTCTCTCCTCTGCTCTGTCACTCCAATGGGTGGCAAGTGACAGGAGAAAGAACCCTCGGTCCCCTGACTTGTGTCCTATCACGCTTCTTGTTCTCTCAGAGAAATTCCTCACTCACTGGTCTGTTCCTCGATGCTCTTAATACGATGTTTCCGTCTCTTCATCCCACACATTTTCATTTATTTCTCAAGAAAGGTTGAGCTGGATTTTATATAGCTGACTATTGCTGGAAGTGAAAATCCCAGCATGTCTTTCCAATATGTTTTTGACCACTTGACTTTTGGTTCACAGACCTCAAGTAGAGCTTCAAGTTTCCTTTGACAAACTGAAAACGCTTCCTCTAACCAACCCTGGCTTAGCCAGCATTTATGAATGTTGTGTTACCTCGTGCCCAACAGAACACCAGAAAGAAGTCGTATCTCTGAAAAAAGATGCAAGTGCTGTTATCCAAACAATAGTTCCTCCCAGTCCAGAGGAGTAGAAAATGAGCGGAGTTTGGAAGTTACAAACCTTGAGATTACAAACTGGAACAGAAATGTCATGTTTTAGGAGGACTATAAATCAAAGGTCTCAGAATGGTAGACCACAGACTGAATTCAGCCCACAAATGTGTTTGACTTGGCCCACACCATGTTTTAAAAATAGGAGATTTCCCATTTTAAAAAATCTGGATTTTCATCCTCTGAAAACGCCAATCTGGCAATTGTCTTCATGGCCAACTGGCAGCCATCATTTGGAGCAAACTGGAGGCTGCCTCCTTGGGGGAGCTGAATTTCTTCATCCTTCCCCACGCCCAACAAGCTGCCTCATCCTCTTCACCGGAAAAGAAGCAGAAATGCAGTTTCTGGTCTTTCTCCTTGGAATCTGATAACTCATTTTGGATCTTCAAATCAATCCACAACCTCATTCTATTCTCTCTCTCTCTCTCTCTCTCTCTCTCTCTCTCTCTCTCTCTCTCTTTCTAACTCTTTTTCTATATATAAAACCTGTGCCATGAGGCCTACCCACCCTCACATTCAATATTTAATCACCCCTCCTGTAGATGTTTAAGTTCCTTTTTTATTTTTCTTTTTGGATCACGCTCAGTGATGCTCAGGGGTTCCTTCTGACTCTTCACTCAGGAATTAGTCCTAGCAGTGCTGAGGGGACTATATAGGATGCTGGGGATTGAACCTGGGTCGGCCATGTGCACGGCAAATGCCCTAGTAGCTCTACTATCGCTCTGGCCCCAGATGTTTAAGTTTCTAACCTCTGTGTGTGGACCTTGTCCCCACAGACCTAGGATGTGGCTCAGTGCTCAAGTCCATGCCTCATTGCATGAGACCTGGGTTTGGTCCCCAGCATCACAGACAATTAATAAATAGGTTTAGACCTTGCCCTTCCTCTAAGGGAGTTAGCTCCATATTTTATAGGCTCTGGGACAAAGAAGGAGACTATGGATTCTAGGAGGAGAAAAGTGGACTGTGTGTTTTTTATAGACTCGGGAAAGAGAGGACAGTACAGCTTGCAGGGAGAGGAGCAGAGGAAGCAGCTCCCGTGATGGGTGAGGCCAAACTCACTGTGGGGCCCTGAGGAGCACACTTGGGAGCACAGGCCTTCGGCTAGGGCCCTGAAATCTTTACCTTCCTGTGGGAAAAACATCCCACCATCTCCACCCTGAGTCTTCGTGCCCCAGTGCTCTGACGAGAAAAATGCAGTCTCGCCCTCTGAGGAGGAAAATCTTCTCTTTGTAGGGGCTGAACTCAGGAAGACATACAGATCTATTCACTGAGCTTCCTGGGGATTTTCATGTGTTCTTCCAGAGAAAGCGCAGTTGGGATTAGAGCGTCAGAATTCAGGCTGTTCTGGCCTCGAACCCAGGCTGCCCTGGTCACTGTGTGCTTTCCCTGTCACTTGCAGGGTGGTGGCGAGTTTGAGCTAAGATCATCTGCAGTGGTGCTGAGGGCAGGGCCTAGTACACAGGAGGTTCCCTAAAGTAGCTCTATATTTTGTTACTGCTTCACTTCACATGAGATCCATAAATCACTGAAAAAGAAATCTGGGGTTGGGGTGTGTCTTTGCAAGTTTTAACCGTGCTGCTTGCATTGATGGAAGATCAGGATGGATGAATGAAATAGTGCACGGTTTACCCAAGTCTTACCTTTAGATCTGAGAGCAGTTTGAAAAATGGGGTGATTTTTAAGTATGAGCATGGCTGAGAAAATGATCTCTAAATAAAATAACAACCCATGTGGGTTGCCCCTGGCGGCCCTAGAGACCATTCCAAGCTGACAAGTCTTCCCCCTGGGCCAGCCATGTTAGTACCAAGGGTTTGCCTCATGGGCCCAAGCTATTGAGTAACACGCTGCTTTGACCTCAGAGTTTTTGCTCCCTTTCACTTTTGTTTGGAATTTTGTTTTGTGTAGTTAGTGCCAGGAGTTGAAAATGGGTCTCATTCTCCTTTACCATGAATGAGCTCCTGTCCCACCCACCTTTGGGGATCTCGCCATGTGACCCCTCCCTGCCTCTGACCTTACGCATTTGAAACCCACATTTGTGTTTCTGTGGACTCAAGCTTGGATCTCCTCAGATCTTTTGCATGTTAATGACCAGCCTATATTGTTAATTATCAAGAAGGGTTTATCCAGATATGAAGTTTGTTTCCCTGAGTGATTACAAAACTACAGGCACTTGGCCCTACCCGCTCATAACTCTACATTTACTTCCTCCTTATGTGCTTCCGGAGGGCTTGAGTACAAAAGCTTCCATCCACTTATTTGAGGAGGATAAATATTTCACTAACAGTTAACACTCACAAAAAATAAAAATGTAGAAAACTGCACAAATTTTTGTTGCTGTGATTTTTTTTTATAAAATTGACAATTTTGTGTAACCCCTGCTCAATTAAAAAAGCCAACTCTTTCTGCTGTTCCCAATTAGAGAAGTACTAGTTAACAAGGCCTTCTCCCTTTTAACTTCTGAAAAATGGAATTAAACAATCTAAACTAGTCTTCCCCCATATTCTTGGCTCAGCACTAGGTGAGATCCATGTATATTGTTGCCTACCCTTATACATCTTTTATTCCTGTGACTCAAAGGTATTTTTGTTTGTTTCAGTAAATGCAATTTATCCATTTTGTTAGTGAATATATTTAGGTTGGACCCAATTTGGGGAAATTGCAGGTCTTGTGGCTGAAAGACACCTCAGCAAAAACCTACCTATTTATGTTGTGGCTGTGCCCAAGAAGTGGCTAGTTCTTCTGATCTGCAAGTGTTCATTCATCTTTACTAGATGTTGTTGTACAGTATTGCAAAGTGGTGGCAACAGTTTACAATAACACACACACACACACACACACACACACACACTGTGGTGTAGGAAATTCAATCGTTCCACATCCACCTCCACGCATGCTCTCCAGAGTCTCTCACAAATCCCTGACTACTGCCCAGAGCTCAGCCACTGTCCCGGAAGGAGACTGGTCTCTGCCCACCATCTCCTCCCCCATGTACCTGACTGCTCCATCTCATAAGCATCCCCAGAAATTGGTATTTACATCCCAACTAATGTGCCCTTCCTCATTCAGGAACTGTCTCCCACGCATTGGCACACAGAGGTAGGAGAGTGAGCACCAGGCCCTGAGCACATGTGTGCATGCAAGAGGCCTGAGGCTCCATCCCAAGCCCTACTTGGTCCCTGGAGCACAGCTGGGTGCAACCCCTTAGCTCACCCCAAGAGTAGTCTTCAAAGTCACATTTCCTCCAAAAAATAAAAAATCCTGTTGCAAAAAAAAAAAAGAGTAGTTTTCAAAGGCTGCTGTAGTGGGACTCCAAAAGCCAAAACTCAGGGGGGGAAATGAAAAAAAAATAAACAATTTTACAATTCATTTGGAGACTTAAAAAGCGGGACGTCGGACTTGCGGAGTGGAATCTCCGTGTCACGTGAGACGAAGGCAAGATTAAAAGATGGGTGATATTGAGAAGGGCAAGAAGATTTTTGTCCAGAAGTGCGCTCAATGCCATACCGTGAAGACGGGAGGCAAGCACAAGACGGGGCCCAATCTCCATGGTCTGTTTGGGCTAAAGACGAGGCAGGCCGCTGGATTCTCTTACACCAACGCCAACACGAACAAAGGCATCACCTGGAATGAGGACACGCTGATGGAGTATTTGGAGAATCCCAAGAAGTACATCCCTGGAACAAAAATGATCTTCACTGGCATTAAGAAGAAGACCGAGCGGGTAGAGCTGATAGCTTACCTCAAAAAAGCTACTAATGAGTAATAGTTGGCACCGCCTTATTTATTACAAAACAAATGTCTCATGACGTTTTTTATGTTTACCATATTTAAATCCATCTCGTTCACCAGAATTCAGATCATGAGTGACCGATAGCGTATTTTTATTGGGCAGCCCTGATTTAAATAAGATTGGCTTGTGTTTTAATGAGTATGATCAGTTTTTTTTGAATAAATGATAATTCCAGGTCAGCAAGTGCAATCACTGTCCCTTTCCAAAGATATGATTGAACTTAATTCATCACATTCACCTTTCTAAGGGATGGAGATGGCCATCTCATACCTGTGGGAGAATAGTTTTCTATTCAGATTTTTAAAACCGGCTCTATTAATATATCTAAAGATTGCGGATATCACTGTCTCCTTAGGTTGTTTCTTAGCCTGATAAAATTAGTTGGCAGTGACCTTATATCTTTTTCTTAATTATGGTAATTAAAAATTCTCTGCATCTAAAAATGTTGCCTTTCACTTACTGAAAAGTATTTTAATGTGACGTATGTATAACATTGAATAAAAAATACCACTTCTCACAACTTTTAGATGATCTTAAGTTCAGATGCTTTTAAAATTTAGCCTGGTGAGTTAAGAGTGGCAACTTTTGCTTGTTCTTTACTAAAGTCAGACTATGATGTAGTTCAGGATTTTCTTTTAAGCAGCTATTCAGAAATGCACACTTAAAAAACTACCCCTGTGTATGTAATTGATAACGGTGCTTTTACCAACTCATTAGTAGAGGAGATATCATTAGCACAAATTTGTAAATTATGTGATCATAAGAATTAAGATGATTAAAACAAAGTCACAGATGAAAAAATTCATTTGGATATTTTTAAATTTTTATCATTTTTTCATCTTTATTTTATTTTTATAAGGTTGTTCACAATAATTTATTACATTCAATATTCTAACACAAATTCCATCACCATTACTCCTTCCCATCACCATTATTTCAAATTTTTCCAACCACCATCCAAGCCTGCCTCAATAGCAGGCCCTAAATATTTTTTTTGTATTGCTTGTTATGAATAATTCTCTAAAAACGATCATAAAAGATTTCCTTAGAAGAAAGGATGTGAAGATTCTGGTATCTCACTCTGGAACTACTGAGCCCTTGTGTAAGAGACTACTAACATGCTGTTACAAGCTGAGCCTTGTGTGCTAATATTTTTAAAATTGAGATTGGTTGTCTTCTACCTTATATCCTATTCAGTGGACATTTAATTAAAAAACTAAATAATTTTTCCTAACTTGGAGTAAGCTGATGTGATACAGACATGATTATATACCCACTTCTAGTCCGATAAAGTGCACCAGTTTTATAAATCTTGCTTTTCAGGAATATTTCTCTAGTCCAACACAAAATCTTTTGTCTTTATTGTTATTGACACTGTGATTTACAAAGCTAACATATGTTTCAGGCTTACATGTTCCAACACCAATCCCACCACCACTGTGCCCTTCCTTCCACCAATGTCCCCAGATTCCCTCCCAGCAAGTCTGATCCCTTAGCAGATATATACCAAATTTATTTCATATTGTTTGCTACAACAAAACTTAAAGAAACGGCAAGTGGAATTACCAGAAAATAAATCAATAAAAGTCCATTTGTGATGACTGATTTCTATATGGATATGGGCAATGGTGTTGAATCCTTTGTGGAACCCGGCTTGCTCACATGGTTGTCTTTCATCTAGTGTTCTGCCAATCCTATTTAGGATGACTCAAGTGAACAACTTGTAGATGACAGACAATAGGCAGATCAGGCGATAGTTGCCAATGTCATGGATGTCTCCCTTCTTGAACAGTAGTATAGTCCTGCTGGTTTTCCACTGGGACGGAACCTTGCATTCAGTCAGGTAGCGTGTGAAGAGCTGAGCCAGTGTATTGATGAGTACTGACGGCAGGTTCTTCAGGTGTTCAGGTATGACCTTGTCTGGGCCGGGTGCTGTTTGTTTCTTTACTGACAAAATGGCATGTCGGATTTCGGAAGGGAGAACATTGGGAACATTGGGATGGATTCCACATATCCATCCTGTGGAATTTGTTATGTCGGCAAGTGGACATGGCTATCGAAGAGATTTGAGTAGAAGTCATGGATAATCTTCTCCATCGCCGTTCTGGTGGATGTGATAGATCCATCAGGACGTCGAAGGGCAGTCATCTTGGTCTTGTAGTTGGCGAAGGACAGGCGGGCGTTACGAATACTTTTCCTGGCTTCTGCCACATCTACCAGCACTTCTGCTCTTCTCTCTTTGAGGTCTTCCTTGATCGCTTCTCTGCACTGCTTTGCGAGCTTGGACGTTAGCTTACGGTTGCCTGAGGCATGCGCCAAACCACGTTGGTGAATAAGCTCAAGAGTTTTCTAAGACAGTTGGTTTTTTGTGGCTATCTCTCTCTTGGCGTTCTTCGCACAATCATGGAGGTGCTGAACCAGTCGATCGTATTCCTCATCAATGTTGTCAACAATGGCATCTTCCCATGTTGCCGCAATAGTGCCAAAGAGCTCCCAGTTGGTGGTCGTTCTTGGAGTTCTCTTTTTAAACTTTGCAGCCTTTTCTCCCCTCTCTGTGAAGTAGAATTTTGCACGAAGGACATGGGAAAGAAAGGGAATATGAGGGGATTTTTTTGTTTGCTTGTTTTGGGGGAGGGGAGTCAGGTGGGAGGTGAGCAATGCCCAGAGATGCTCAGGGGTTACTCCTGGTTCTACACTCAGGAATTACATCTGGCAGTGCACACAGAACCCTATGGGATGCTGGTAATCAAACCTGGTTGGCCAAGTGCAAGGCAAGCACCTTCCCTGCTGTACTATCACTCGGCCCAAACAGTGATGTCCTTAACTATTCATCAAGTTGTTCATCAAGTTCGCCTTCCTGGTCTGATGGTTTTTATGTTTTTCCTCTTGAGCTCATCCAGTCGGTCTGTGGTGTACTGCTCTTTTCTTTTCTGGTTTTTCTCCATTTTCTGCTGCTTTGTAGAGATTCCTCTATCTCATATGCAGTCTCTCGATATTTTTCTCAGCTGCTATGATTCTGCTGCTCAGAACTTCTATGTATATTATTTTTTTATAATTTTGCATGCAATTTTCTCATTCCAGCTCTCATAGTTTCTGTGCTCCACTGACTACTTGTGCCATCATTTCTTTGAACCTGCTGAACATCTGCACCATAGTATCACTAAAATCCTTTCCTGGGGATGTACAGAGCTGGTTGATGCTGTTTCTGCTCTCTGCGTTACCACTTTTGCTTATTGATCTTGGTGGCCTTCTACATGTTTTTCCCATTGGTTTTCTACTGCTGTGCTGGGAGTGAGTTTTGGTAGTTAGACCCCCAGAATCTGGCTCTTTTCCTTGTCTGCCTGTCTGGAAGGGTGGAACAGCCAGCAGAGATTCAGGAGCTGGGGTGTGAGCCTGATTACATGGCGGAGGGCAGGCATGGGGGCTGCCAGGACTTTGCTGGAAGGGAGGGACTCTACCTTTGTTTCCCAATAGGGCCGATGACGTCAGCTGAAAATTAAGCTGACCTGGAAGAGCAGAGCAGCAAGTAGAGGTTCCCAAAATGTTTTCTTAGACCCTTAAAATGGTATTTAAAAACGACAGTACGTGGGAAGGGGAGAGCAATATTTGAGACTTACTATTTTAAAGCAAGAAGTATGACTTCAGGACCTTAATACTGGAGAAAACACAGAGTGAAGGATTAAAGCTTAATGCAAGTGTATGATATCAAGTCCCTCTAAGATCTGCTTCTTATTAAATAGACCCCAAAGAGAATTCATTCACATTCTTCTTCCTAAATGTAGTTCCTTCGTCTAGAAAAGAGACCACATAAATTCTATGGTATTCAATTTCCTTCTAAAGCATTTCTCAGTGCTAAATTCAACTTTTTCCAAAAGCAGAGGACAGATGAGATAATTTGAAGAAAAAAAAAATACTTCAGGTAATTTTTTTTTCCAAATCCACTTTTTGTTTTTATACTCTTCATAAATGGTTGAGCCCTATTTAATACATAGAATTTTGCAGGGGGAAGTAGAGACTTAGAGCATTCCTGGTTTTAGATGACATGTGTTTTGTTTTAAAATAGGTAATAAGACCCAGAGACATAGAGATAGCACAGCAGGCAGTGTGCTTGCCTTGCACACAGCCAACCAGGGTTTGATCCCCGAACCCCATATGGACCCCAGAGCTGCTACCAGGCGTGATCCCTGAGCACAAAGCCAGGAGTAAGCCCTGAGCACTGGGTGTGCCCTCAAAAATAAATTAAAATAAGTAATAATTACTCCTAAAGAACACCTTTGTTTTTAACCCTCTACTTTTCTCTATAAAGAAAAATATTCTGGGACTGGAGGGATAGTACAGTGGGTAGAGCCAACCAGGATTTGATTCCCAGCATCCCATTGGTCCCCCTGAACCTCCAGGTGTGACTCCTGAGTGCAGAGCCAGGAGTAACCCCTGAACATTGTCAGGTGTGACCCCAAAACAAAACAAGACAAAACAAAACATCCTTAGTTTTCTCTCTTCCATATGAAGACCTTTGCTCTTTACTCAAAGTATAGCAAGGAAATCTCAGATTAGTCTTCCAATACAAAAATTTCTTCCTTGATTATGAGATTTGCATTTACTAGCTTATGTGCAGTTACACATTTTTACACATTTTTAAAAATCTGGTTTGATATGTTTCCTTTTGTAAATAATCAAAGATCAGTATTGTTTCTATGTAAACGAGTTTGTCTCACTCCTCTCTCTCACTCTCTTCCTTCCCACCTCACAATCCAGTTCTCTCTCACTGCAAAGGCTAGGAAAAATGGGCAGTGGATTTGAATTCCTTTTATAACTCAATATCCCAATTTGAATGCAAATTACAAATCTTTCACAAGGGGTCAATTTTACCATCTGGAATGCAAGAATATAGCCCTTCACTTCAAGCCATGATTTTGACAGCTAAATTTGAGCTTATTTTCCCTTTGCCATTTCTTAAACTTTTGTCTCAAGCAAAAGAAAAATGCAGTTATACCATTGACTAAAATTAAATGTCTCTCTTGCAGATATCTATAAGTCTATTAAGACTCCTAAACTACCATTTATGGCTTTTAATTGACTTTTTCTCAACTTCATTAAAGCACCTAAAAACACAAGTCACTCCCTTCTCCCCTTGAGCCAGACATTTAGGTCCTATTAACACTAATGGAATTTATAAGCATGCTCGATGAGGGAGAATAAACTCTTAAAC